TTCAGCAAGGCCTTTGACACCGTCTCCCACCCCATCCTCATTAAAAAACTAGGCGACTGTGGCATTGATGCCTACACAGTCAGATGGATTGCAGATTGGCTGAAGGGTCGCACTCAGAGGGTGGTGGTGGATGGGTCATATTCGACCTGGGGAGAAGTAGTAGCGGGGTCCCCCAGGGCTCGGTCCTTGGGCCTGCGCTGTTCAATCTCTTTATCAGCAATTTGGATGATAGGGTGAAAAGCACCCTGTTTAAATTCACTGATGATACCAAAATTTGGGGTGAGGTGAGCATGCTAGTGATTGCTGTTATGGGGTGGGGAATTCCCTGGTAGGAACTGAATGTGGTTCTAGCTGGACGGCTTAGATTTTATGTTATAGCCCAGGGGCTTGTGGGTTTTTTTGTGTTCACTATTTAGACTGGAGGACCAGGTGAGGCTATTAGGGGTTGGAGGAGGCCTCATAGGGGCTCCACAGTAGCGCGGGGCCCCGGTGCCAGAGAGGGTGCAGCATTCTGGGGTGCACTGACCCCAGTCCTGAAAAGGGGAGCGAAGAATCAGAAGCCAGGCAAGGCTGAGGCCACATGAGCCCGGCAGGGGGTTTGAGACCCCGAGGGGGAAGACTGCAGCAAGACTTGGATAGGTTACAGGGGTAGGCAAGCAAAAACAGGATGCGATTCAACACTGACAAGTGCAGGGTGCTGCACTTGGGCAGTAGTAACCACCAGCACACTTATAAGATGGGAAACTCCCTTCTTGAGAGCACAGAGGCAGAAAGGGATCTTGGACTCATTATTGACTCCAAGATGAACATGGGCCGACAATGCGAGGTCATGGTTGGCAGGGCTAACCACACCTTGTTGTGCATCCACAGGTGCATCTCAAGCAGGTCCAAGGAGGTGATCCTCCCCCTCTACGTGACACTGGTCAGGCCACAGCTGGAGTACTGTGTCCAGTTCTGTACACCCCACTTCAGGAGAGATGTGGATAACATTGAGAGAGTCCAGAGGAGGGTCACCTGCATGATCCGGGGACTACAGGGCAGACCCTACAATGAGAGACTGCGGGACCTGAACCTGTTCAGCCTTCACAAGAGAAGTCTGAAGGGGGACCTGGTGACTGTCTATAAACTCACTAGGCGGGACCAGAAGGGTTTGGGAGAGACCTTGTTTCCCCTAGCGCCCCCTGGCATAACAAGGAATAACGGCCACAAGTTGTTGGAGAGTAGGTTTAGATTAGACATCTGTAAGAACTACTTCACAGTCAGGGCGGCTAGGAGCTGGAACCAACTTCCAAGGGAAGTGGTGCTGGAACCTACCCTGGGGGTCTTTAAGAGGAGGCTTGATGCCTACCTAGCTGGGATCATTTGAGCCCAGTTTTTTCTCCTGCCCTGGCAGGGGGTTGGACTTGAAGATCTATAAGGTCCCTTCTGACCCAACTTCTGTGATTCTATGGTTCTGTGAAAATGTTGAAACACTGGTCAAAACAGAACACTGCAATCTCACATACCCCTAATAACTAATAAGAGTAGATGGTTGTTTCCTTCTATTTAAACTGTCCTGCCAATGGGATCCTGAGATATTTGAGGATCATTTCTCCAACAGGATGGAACGTAACTGTTAGTATAAGTTAAACCTTTTAGTATAAGTTAGTGTACTAAAGTTAAAAGATATAAAGTTAGTGTAAGTATTCTTCCAAATGTCTTGGATTATATTTTGCTATCCATGGAATTTTATGCATCTTCATAAGCCGCTAACAAGTTGAGAACTTTCATATATATGTCACCAAAGCTCTAGCTAGGAACCTTGTAGCCTACAGGAATCTTCTTCCCCTTCCTAGTAATGCAAAAGAAAACTTCTTGCCACCAGCACAGTGAAGTTTCTGCTATAGCCTATCTAACTGAAATCTGTGCAGCAGACCACTTCCAACTGAAAGTTACCAGCCATTATAGTGGGACAATGTAAAAATGAAAGTTATTTAAAAAAAAATCTCTACCTCTGTTTCTAAAATGATTGAACAGTTTTAAAGCTAGTTTCTTTTTCACTGCCTTGTTACATCCCATTCAGGTTTGAAGGATGTGGACTCTATTGCTCCAAAGCAGTCAAGTTCATATCAAGGCTTTTTGGGTACAACCAGGGACAGATCCAGGGGAGTGCAGTGGTACAGCCACACACCCTCTTTGATTCCAGGTCCACCCAAAGTGGCAACAGCATTTCTATTTAAGCAGCAGTGAGGGAGTTACTTGACTTCATGGATCATTTTAATCTACTTCAGTGCTGTCAAACATACAGCCAGCAGCCTTGATGGGGGATCTTGCAGCTAAGTGCTTGGGTGAGACCTTCAGTGATGGAGCTCCAGAAGTACTATGGGACAAAGCTTGGCACTGCAGCTTGTTCCTGCAGCTGCAGCCAAGCCCCTGTGGCACTGAGCTTCTTTCCTGGACTGGCTGGAGCAGGTGCTGGCTGGATCAGTCATGGGGAAGAAGGGGAGTTCCATGGGCCTGATTTGGCTTGTGGGGCCAGAGAAGTTTGATACCGCTGATCTACCTGATTCCTTCCAAACTTCATTCCACAGGTATTAACAACCCTCTTTCCTTTTTAATAGTCTTGATATTCCACTAATTAAGCTATCTTTTCTTCTGCAGTTCTGCTGTCCGTTAGCTGCTCCCTGTAATGTAGCCCCTATTTTACAGCCGTGTAGACTATTTTGACAAGGTGGCCAAGTGGTTAAGGCACTGGACTACTAATACATTGTGCTGTGCACATGTGGGTTCAAATCCCACCCTTGTCAGTGTCTTTTTCACAAGAGACATGCTCGGATGGGCTCTGCCTTTCTGCTAAAGGTAAACGCGTGTTTTCTTCTAGGTTGGCAGACCTCCTCCGGCGGGCTTTAAACTAGGCTTGTTGGGGGAAGGGGAAGACGAGGGTAGAGGAATCATTGGACTGCCAGACCAAGCAACACCCACAAGTACAGCCCAGCCTAGACCGATGAGCAAAACATATACACAGGTAAGCCACAGGGGCCAGAGTAATGCTGAAAGTAGGGGGCCAGTGCACACATCCACAGGAGGCCTCAAATGCCTCTACACAAATGCTTGTAGTATGGGAAACAAGCAGGAGGAATTCACCCTCCTGCTAGCTGACACCAACCCGGACATAGTGGGGATCACTGAAACGTGGTGGGACTCAACGCATGACTGCGCGGTGAATGTCAAGGGCTATAGGCTGTACAGGAGGGACAGGATAGGAAGGAAAGGTGGGGGCATGGCACTCTACGTAAAGTCCAGGGAAGAGCCACTCATATGCTTAGCAGCCTAAGAGCAAGCCAGACAAGGGAAGGCTGATGGATATGGCACTGTTCAGCCTAGAAAAAAGATTTCAGGGGGATTTGGTGGCAGCTTACAAATATATCAGTAGTGAGCATCAGAGACTTGGTGAACAACTATTCACCAAAGTGCTCCAGGGGAAACCAGGAGCAATGATCATAAACTCCCAGAAGAAGGTTTCAGACTGGATATAAGGAAAAACTTATTTATGGTTCGTGTGACCAAACTCTGGAATACACTCCCAGCGGGGGGTGGTGCAGGCATCTACCCTGGAGAGCTTCAAAAGAGACTGGACATACACCTTGCTGGGGTTATTTGACCACAACAGTCTTTCCTGCCCAGAGCAGGGAGGCTGAACCCAATCATCTCATGCGGTCCCTTCCAGCCCTAAACTTCTGTGAATCTGGGAGTGTAACTGTTTCTGAGACCTCTAGCACTATGAGTTTTATAAGTGGAAATGTCTGTTTCTGCCATGAAAGTTCTCACCGGGTCAAGGTGCACTAAGAGAGACGCAGAAGTGAATGCCTGGTTCAACTGACTGAAGGTGAACTTGGTTTCTGTGGACCACTCTAATTGAGCCTGCTTTTTGAAGAGTGCAGTTATAAGACCACCAGCTTGGAGAAATTCTTGATGAACCTGTGATAAAAATGTCAAACCTGAGGAAGCATTGAATCCTTTTGGGGATGCCAGTCAGTCATGGCAGTGATCTTGCAGAGGTCCACCTGAAGCTGCACAGGGGACATTTCACTGAAGCTTGTGAAATTGGAAGAGGCATTCCATGACAATGTGAGTGTGTATCGGACAGCAAAGAGCAATGGTCAAAAGGAATTACTGCCCCAAGTTGAAAGTCAGTTGGATATGGGTAGCCCTACAGCTGGTGTGCTGATGCATTGTCTGCATTATTCTTGTCAAACAGATTGGAAAAGTCTCCGTGACCAATAAGAAACATTCCAGTAGGCTTGGAACACTGTCAGGCTTGGTGAACTCTGGGGCTGGTATCTGGGGCACCCATGTGACAGTGATCCTTGATATTCCAGTTGTGCTGTGGCTCAGTATGATAGAGGCAGAGGCATCCTTGGTAATGGCTTCCACTTCCTGTAGACAGGTTTGGTAGCTGCAATCTGAATTGTACCAAATCCTTTTAGAAGACCATTTAATTAATGGGTTAGGCAGGAAGAGACATGAGATTCCAAGCAGCACAGGACAATGTGCAGACTGAATCAGCCCAAATCACAGCTATTCAGTGTAGGCCTGGTAGGTGACTTTGAGAGGAGCAGTCTTGAACTTCACAGGTCTGGAGAAGAGCAAAGAACCGTCAATGGATTCTTTTGATGCAAGTTTGGTTTTTCATTGAACAGGAACTTAGTTGGCTTTAACAGTCCAGAGCCATAAGGTTGTCAGATATGCTGAGTCCACTCTTACTGATGCACCTCAGCTAAGGTCAGTTGTGAGGTGGTGACCAAAGACTGCCATAGTCCTGGCAGAAAGAGGCATCACAAAGGTTTACAGGACACTGATACCTCAGGTCTCTGTTGCACGGATGTGAGACTTGGTGTACAGAAGGTACACCCAGCAAATAAAGAAATGGCACCATTTCTGCCTATCTTACTTCAGGTTAACTGGTATGAAAGTGTGCTGAATGTTGAGATTTTGCAGTGTGTGGATTACATGAGTACTTAGGCATTAATTGAGCTGGGCATTTAGAACAGATGGATGATACATGAATGCTCAAGCAGCTGCTATACAATGAGCCACAAGTTGGCAAGAGAAAGCATGGCTACCCTAGGGAGTGATTTAAGGACACCCTTAAGTGGCATTTGGTGCCAGGCAACATACTAGCTGACCACTGGGAGGTTTTGTTTGCTGACAGGCACCAATGGGGGGCCCAGGCAAAGGCAGGTGTAGCACATTTTGGTCACTGATGATTTACCAATAATTAAGAAAAGCACAAAGTTTAAAAAGAACAGTAGCAGCAAACTGCTTTATAGGGGTGCATAGAAATGTGAGATTTAGGGAAAAGACTGCTTGTCACGTATTGGCCTTTGAATCACAGAATCATAGAAGTGGAAGGGGTCTTGAGGGTCATCTTGTCCAACTTCTTTCATGAATGTAGGAATGCTACTCCTAAATCATCCTCGGCCAATACTTACCCAGCCTCTTCTGGAAAACTTCCAGTTAAAAAGATTCCACAACTTCCCTGGGTAATTTATTTCACTGCCTCACTGTTCTAGCAATCTTCTTGGTCTGTGGCACACCCACTGTGCCAGATTTACACCTCTGCTACCACCATGTTGCCAACTTTGACTATTAGGGTCACACAGCAGTCCCCATTCCATACCCTATTTCTACAGGACATGCTTTGTCCCAAGTTTCAGGTATTCATAAGGGGAACAAATGTATAAATGTGTACCCTGACTAAAACACTATGGAAATCTGCTTCTTGAAAAATAGCTGTCACCTGGCTTTTTCAGAAATTATTTTTCACACCCTTGAGGTATAGTTGGCTCTTTTAGTTACAGCCCAAAAGAACCCTATAACTTGTCCTGTGCTTCTGGTATTTGATATGATGCACAGAGTCATCAGATCTCAACTTTTACTGATCTTAATATAAGATCCCTCAAACCAGTGCACAGTGTTTTTTGTTATGCTCCAGATCCCAGAATCATCTGATTCCATGAGAATCCTAACTTTGTATTTCAAAAATAAGTTAATGGAAAGATGTTTTTGCCTTCCCTAAAGACTCCACCAGAAGGCATATGATAAGGACCCAAATCTATTATTTAAAAAGCCTCATTATGTTTAATCCACTCATTATTTTGGGGCCTGTTCATGACTGGAAAGGTTAGGATTGACAGTAACAAAAGCATTGTCTGCCAGGCCTGTGGTTTACATGCAAAGTATGGAAGACGGTGATGAGAATTTGCTTCATTTTATGCCAAATAGGAGCAACCCCAGATTTCTCAGCAAGATACAGCTCTCTCCCCTCCTCTACAAGAAACCTGCTGAGAGAGGCTCAGCCTCCACTTCTCTTCCCTTGCCATCATCCTCTGAATGTGAATACAAACTGTTTTATATGACCTTAAACTAGTTTAGAAATCCCACGAGCAGATGATACACAGCTCTAAAGTAGTAGATCCACATCCAATCCATAGCAAATTTACCTTAGCAGTCAGGGGTATCTATATTGATATAGAACTGGTTTTGTCTACGTCCCTCTTCCAGTCGGGGTGATCGGTCAGACCAGCAGAATCCCATGCTGCTTTTTGGCCCACATGTAAGAGAGCTGCTCTGGCCTCCCTTCTCACCTTAACTGCTCTGAGGTTGGAGCTCTGAAGTTGCCTGTGACTTAGCCCTTCATAAATCAGGCATGAAGGCACAACATCACTATTTTGTATTGGCCCTCCCTCCTTCCATTTCAGTACATTCAACTACTCAGCCAGCATATCAGCATGTCAGGTGCTGCCCATGACTTAACCAGCTGAATCTGTGAGGAGCTCTGCAACCCCATCATATAGTGAGGGAAAGAAGCTGTTCAGCAGGCCCTTCACAAAACACATTACAATGCCCACCTGCAGTAGCCAGTGGTGTAGGGCCAGGATCAAACACCAAAAATACCATTACAGAGGTAGGGGACACCAACCATTGCTCAGGCATCAGGTTAGTCATACATGTCTTCTGCAAGGAACTTTCCAGGGTCCTTGCCAACACTGCCCACTTCAAGCTGCATTTTGTCACCAACTCTGGATGAGGCTGAATGCATGGATGTGGACAGGTGAAAGGAGGTCCAGGGCAAGGACAGAAAGCTTCCCAGTGAAACCCAATCCCTCTGGGATGCAGGATGATGTGGCAGTCCCAGCAAAACAAAGACAGCTGGCATGAGACCGAGATTCCAGAGTTGCCATCTGACAACCAGTGTTACAGTGCTCTCCGCATCCCTCAGCATGGGCTTGTAGAGGTGACAGACTCACATGCATCCCAGGCACCAGAAGACTCCACAGCTCCAGAACTCACTACCCCAGTCTTTCCCCACCACGCTGATCAGTCACTGACAAAAACTTGATGTAACAGGGTCCTGCTCCAGGGGTGGCAGTGATGCCCCTGGAGTTCCCTCAGCTCTTGTCAACCTTGTCGCTCTCTCAGGGCAATGTCCCCTTCTCCTCAACTGCCACGCTTTGATGAAATGATATTTTCAGAAAAAGCCAGGCTACCCCAGGGCTTTCCAAGTCGGATCTTGTCATGAGTGCTATTGTTACTGCTCATTGTCTTAAGGGCAATTATATGGGCTCCGTTCTCCCCAATACCCATGCCCATGCCTCGCTGTTCTCACTTGTTCCTCCCTCTCTCTGCTGTTCCTAACCCCCTCTCAGGCTATAGCCCCCCCAACCCTGCTGGCATGCACCCCTCCTGGGCACAAGCCCCTGGCCCCAGTCCTTGCCCCTCCTGGGCTACAGGCTGCTTGGCCCCCTTAGACTCTGGCTGTGAAATCTAGTCTTTGGCTCTTCTCTCTAGGCCCTGGGCCCACTTCTAGGCCAGTTGAGACTTATAGGCTCCCCTGGCTCTGCCAGTCTCTGGCTATGGCCCTCCTTGGCCTTTGGCCTTTATCTCTGGGTCCTGGTCCCACTCCTGGGCCAGTGAGACCTCCAGGATCTCTACCTTGCTTACACTTGCCTCTCCTGGGCTCTGGCCTCAGTCCCAGCAACTGAGCCTCCCAGCTCAGACCTGCATGCTTGGCCCCACCTCTGGGCTTGGGCCCTTTTACTGGGTCAGCACTTCCAACTCCACCCCTGCTGAGCTACAGGCTCTCGATCCTGCTTACTTGACCCCTCCTGGGCTCAAGCTCTCTCCCTCTTGGACCCCAGGCCCACTATTGCATGTTCCTAGGCCTCTTTGCTCCCAGGCCTGTTGGGATCTCCTCCTCCCCTTGGACCCTTCCTCAAATCTCCAGAGTTGCTTACCCCAGCTCAGATACTACCAAGGAACCCTGCTGCAGCCCTGGTACACAAGAGCTCCTCTCCATGGCTCACAGGGCTAGACTCCCTGACCAGTCTGGGCCCTGGGCTTATATGCTTTAAACTTGTCCCCGTTCTGGTCAGGTGACTTTCTAATCGATGCCTGCCACACCTGCAGGCTGCTTCACATCCCACCTGCCTTTTCTTAAAGTAGCAGGAGCACTAAGCCTCCTGCTAGACCTAGGCAGTAAAATCTGAGAGATGCATACTTACCATCACTAATGCTTCCACTGGGAAGATACACTGGCAAAGTCACCACAGGAATTTCTGTGAACATTAGATCTTTCTGAAGCTAAAGTTAGAACAATGAAAGCTTGTTACATTTCTATCCTTCCAAGCTGGACACCTGCAGCTACAAGGACCTCACACATGCACAGTGCAGGGTGAGCATGAAGGGGGAGGTCAAAGAGGAAGCTGCTGGGATAGCAGGCCACTCACCCAGGAGGAGAGCTGTAGTGGTGGAGGAGTGATGCCCCATGGTGGAATTCCACCTGCTAAGGTGGGGCATTGCCCAGACCAGGTGGCCTCCTAAACATCAGTCTCAAAGGTCACTGAATGGATAAGGAAGGTCATGGTGGTATTAGAATCTTTTTGTGAATGGAGAGCAGATATTGCTGGGCCCCTTGACCCACCAGACTGAACGTATGTGGGAAGTACTCTGGCCTTCCCTCCCATCCATGACATTTTCCCGCCAGCCTGTAGCATTTCTCCATTCAACCCCATAACGCCTTCAAGGATGCAGGAAGAATGCTCAACTGTCAGATGTCTTCCTCATGACCTCATTTACTCGGGGCAGCAGCAAGCACTATGCATTCACTCCCATCCCTCCTCAGGAGACAGAAATACTTCCAGAGAAGAGATCCCTTTTTACCCCTCAAACCTCCAGAGGTGGCACAGGGGTGGGCAGCAGCACTAAATTCTGAATGCATTCAATTCCCTATTTGCCCAGCTCCCCCAGCCTTCCCAGGAATGTAAACAGTTTTCCCCTCGACCCTTTTTTCAATAACAAGGTACTTCCTTTTTCTAGTTTGAAATGTTTACTTGCTAATTTGATTGTTATATAAAAACAGCTTGTTTTTTTAGTGGGCTTTATTGTCTCTGGCCCCTAACAACACACTTTACAAAAGGGTAGGCCCTGCATCACACCTGTAACCCCAGTCCCTGCGCAAAGTAGTTAGCTAAGGTCTCCCTGACAAGGTTCCCTTGCTGATTGTGATTCACAAGGGGTGCTGGCTCTGGTTGTTCATAGCGCTGGGAAAGCCTCTCCGCCTCCGCGGCCCACCCAACCCCCAGTGGTTCACCCCTTGTCTCACAGATGTTGTGTAGGACACAACAAGCCATCACCATATTTGGCAGGTAACGTTCTGAGGCGTCCAGCCGGACATTGAGGGTTCTCCACCTAGTTTTGAGGCGTTTGAAGGCACACTCAACAGTCATCAACCGGCAGTTGCTTAGCTGGAAGTTGAAAAGTTCTTTCCTTGGGTCCAGGTGCCCTGTGTATGGCTTCATGAGCCATGGAAGGAGTGGGTAGGCTGGGTCACCAATGATCAGTGGGGGGATGGTCACTCCATTGATTTCAATGCTGGAAGCGCCATGGGCAAATGCTCCCCGCCTCATCAGTGGAACAAGACTGGAGTTGCGGAAGACCCTGGCATCATGCACCTTGCCGGCACATCCAGTAGTAACGTGCGTGAATCTCCCACGATGGTCCACAACACCTTGCAACACTATGGAGAAATAGCCCTTTTTGTTTATGTACTCCGAGCTACGGTGGGGAGGACAGAGGATTGGGATGTGTGTGCCATCAATCGCACCAATACAATTTGGGAAACCCATGTAGGCAAATCCATCAATGACCTCCTGGGGGTCGGACAGTCTGAGGAAGCGTGGGCCTAGCACTTTCTTGATGGCTGCACATACCTCCCGAACGGCAGAGCCAGCAGTGGATTTGCCCACACCAAACTGGTTGGATACAGATCGGTGGCAATTGGGGTTTGCCAGTTTCCAAATAGCGATGGCCACCCGCTTCTCCACAGTCAGGGGCAGTCGCATGTTGGTGGTCCGCCTCCACAGCTCTGGGGTCAACTCCATACAGATCTCCAAGAATGTGGCCTTCGTCATTCGGAAGTTCTCAAGCCAGTGCCGGTCATCCCATGTCTGCAGCACAACCCTCTCCCACCAGTCCCCACTTTTCTCCCGTACCCAGAACTGGCGGTAGACAGTCTGGAGGTGGTCCCAAAGCAGGCCATCCTGATTCGTGTCCCGGATGTCCTCATCCTCTGGTAGCTCACAGTCACCAGCTGACAGGAGGCCACACAGCTCTACCCTGTGCCTTGTGAGGGCTTCAACCGCTGTCGCCTCCCGGGAGCAGGTCCGGAAGAACAGCTCACACAGCTGGGCCGTCAGGCTAGTGAGGGTCACTAGGAGGTGGCGGACGCGGCGCTGTGAGGCCAGGAACAGTGCCATCACCTGGCGGCGCTGGCCATTCAGCGCCTGCACCAGCTCCAGCTGGGACGCGTCCATGGCGGGCGGTATCCTGCTGCCGGCACCGTCAGGGCCAACCAGGCTGTAGGTGGTCACTCAGAGAATTACCAAGGGCAGGCCGGGGTCACACCAGGTAGCAGTTGCAGTCTGGGTCTTCAGGCCAAGGGCTAAGGCAGCATCGTGGCTGGGGAGGAAGGTAGATCAGAGCCAGGAAGTCCAAACAGAGCAAGGAAAGGGACCGAGGTGAGGCTGGGATCAGGCAGGAGCAAACAGAAGCAGGGCTGGAGCAAGGCAGAGGTCCAAGGAGCACACACGTGAGCGACGGTGCCAAGACAAGTCCCACAGGAAGCAGGAGGCGTCTTACAGCCCTCCTGTCATGGCCCAGGAGCCTCCGGGTTCCTCCTGGTCACCTGCCTCTTCCTTAATGGCCTCATGGGAGAAACCAGGCTAAGCTGGGACTGGTGTCTGAGCCGCAGAGTGGTGGTGCCGAGGTGCCAGCCTCCATCGGCTGGCCTGGCCGCCCTGGGCCCCAGTCCCTGTGACCCTCACGGGTGCCCGTGGCCTAGTCGTCCTGCTGGGTTCGTGGCAGCATGTGGGCAGGCTGGTGGCTCCTGGGAGCTCAGCCCTGCGGGCCAGGCCGCGGTGCCCAAGTGAGCCTGCGGAGGGGGGACCTAGGGGGCCTTGCCCCCCTGCTCTGCCCTGCAGGGGTGCAGCCAGGGCCCCCCGGGGGAGCAGCAGGCAGGAGCCCCGGGGCAGGGGCTGCCCGTGTGCCTGCTCCTGGCCCGGGGCAGCTTTACCCCGAAACAAGCTTCCCCGCTCGCTACCCCGCTTCACGGGCTCGTCTGTCCGCAGCACATCAGGTGACTCCTCCAGCCCCCACCCCCTCCCCTCCGTGGCGGGCCCGCTCTAGCCCTCCTCTCGCTGGTGCAGCGACGCTCTACTTCACTTCCGGCTCTCCGCGGCTCTCCCCAGTGAGGGTGGCTCCCTGCGCTGGGCGGAAGCGCGGTGGCCTCATGGCGGCGGTGGACATCCGAGGTGGGGCCCGGGGCTGGGTGCGGCCGCGGCGGGGGGTGGCCCGGGGAGCAGGGGCTTCACGACCCCCTGGGACTGCTCACCCAGGGGGTGGGGGCCTCTGTCCTCGGAGGTGTTAAGACCCGGGCAGACAAAGCCACGGCCGGAGTGATCTGGTTGGGGCTGGTCCTGCGGTGGGCAGGGGGTCCGACCGGTCCAGTGGTTCTCAACCTGTTTTGTACCAGGACCCGTTTGTAAACATGGATGGCCAGCCCTCATCACTTTCGCCCCACTGCCGCCACCCCCCCCGGCTGGAGCTTTGCCAGCCTGCAAGGGAAAAACTGCCCGCCTTCCCTTTAAAGGAGAATCCATTTTTAAAGCTTGTTCACGACACTTTCGTATATTCTTGCCACCCACTTTCGGGTCACGACCCATGGGTTGAGAGAGGCTGGACTAGGTGATCTCCCAAGGTCCCTTCCAACCCCAATTCTCTATTGATTTTGTGCCTGAAGAAGCCCAGTTCCCTCGGCCTCTCCTCACAAGTCCTATTCCCCAGCCCTCAAACCATTTCCATTGCCCTCCGCTGGCCCCTCTCTCCAATTTGTCCACATCCTTTCTGTAGTGGGGTACCCAAAGCCAGACACAGGACTCCAGATGTAGCCTCCCCAGTGCCAAGTATGTGACACAAAAAGACGTTTTTAAGGCATCCTGGTAGTAGACATGGTCTGATCTGAGATTAACACTGCAACATGAGTTATTTGAAGGAAGAGATGCTAAGTGTTATGCGTTGGCTCACAGAGGATGCCCCTTGCGCAAGTTGCCACTTGGAAGGAGATGGAGTGGGGACTTGGAGAGATGCAGATGCACAGGTGATTTGAGGAACATGTTGGTGAGGTTGTGGCAGGACAGAGTAAGAGCTAGTGGCAGCTAAAAATGGGAGGCAAGATTGTGACGAGCTATGAAGGTTAGGGCCAGAAGTTTGTTGAGGCAGTGGAAGAGTTGAGCTAGTGAAATGATTGTTGGGGATGGAAAGGCAAAAAGAGTGGATCAGAGATAAAAGATCTTTAGCAGTAGTTTCTGTGAATCTGAGTAAGGCAACGTGGGTTTTTGGGAAGACAGGCAAAAGCAGAGAGCCCCAAGATAGAAGGGTAATTCTGGGAGTAGAGAGAGAAGGTGGGATATTGATAATATTTTGGAAAGAGAAGTAGCAAGACTTGGATAAGCTCTGCAGAGCTTCTGTGGTATAATGAGGGCACCAGGGCTGGGGCAGCCACTTCTCCACTCCCTGCCTCT